TTCTCACTCACAGGATGCTGTAAGTGAATGTCGGACTCAGTAGTAGTTTGTTGGATTTCGTTCCAATAATTTCGATGTCAAAAATGCATCCCATAATGATCCGCCAGATATTTAAAAAGCCGATAAAATTTTTCAACTGGTGGAGTACGACGGATACTCAAGTGGTCAGGAGATAGCGCAGTGAATAAACTATTAATCATATGACAATTTGGAATCATTAAAAAAGTGTTGGTTATGCATAAAGGTACGACATTTAGGTACCGCAAGGCAATGTAAATAAATTTGATTGATCGACTTAGCATTAATGAAATACCGCTGAAACGCAATAAAATCGAATCAGGTTGATGATAAATGTATTATGTATATACGAAAATATTCAATGCAGTCATATTTAAAAGATGAAACCACATGCGACTTCAAAGTCTGATATGACGGCAAACAAGGTTATATTGAGTGTTTGATGGAAGTTCTATAACCAGTTGATCTAGACTTATGCAATGGTTAATTTGGTTCTCCAATGCTCATTTTTCGATCGTTTGAAAGAAACAATCCAAAAAAAGCGACCAGAATTGGCCAACAGAAAAGAATTTATGTTCTATTATAATAATATCAGATCACACACATCTTTGAAGAGTTAGAACAAATTGACGGATTTTGGTTGTGAAGTTTAAATGCATCCATCATATAGCCCATCCACCATTCGTTTTAGACTCTTCAAAATTTTCTAAATCTTAATGGTAAAAAATTGATAGACCGAGAAGCTGCTGACATTCACTTGGGGGCATCACTTGGGGAAGGTCTATAACTACTCTACTGCTTGTTTTTCGACAGCTTAAATGAAGCAATCCAATCTATAATCAGCTGCTCTAGACTTGTGCAATGATTAAGTCGGTCCTCTACTGCTAATTTTTTGACTGTTTGAATGAAACCATCCAAAAAAAACGAGCATAATTGGTCATCAGAAAATAATTTATATTTTTGACAACTCAGCTCAAATTGTCTTAATGGTAAAAAATTGGCAGACCGAGAAGCTACTGAAAATCAATTGGCGGCATTTTAATGCATTCATCGTATAGTAAGAACTGAGCACTGTCTAAATTCCATTCGTTTCGGTCTCTGTAATATTTTCTTTATGGTAAAAAATTGGAGAACATAGAGGCCGCTGAAAAACACTCGACCAAGTTTTCCGCCTACAAACCGTAAAAGATCTATACTAATGGTATTATGAAGCCACTCGAAAAATGACGAGAAGTCTTAAATCTTAATACCTAATACATAATTGTTAAAAATTTTTCAATCAAAAAATTTGTATTCAAAATTATACCAAAAAACTGGGGATATTTATTAATATCACCCTATATTTTGATAGATGACAGGTCTTCAATAGGTTTTTATGAATAGTCAAAAAAGTATTTAAATAAATTAAAATTTTTTAATGGTATTTGAAAATATTGTCTCTATATTATTTTCGCCATTGCTGTGATTAATCCTTAAAAGCATTTCGTTCATTGTTTATATACCTATATGAATAAAAACAGAAGGCTTGTCAGTTCGGAAAAGATATTTTCTAACATTCTTAATAGGTAGTTTAGCGATTTGATACTATTGAATTCGATAATCAATTATAACCTATTCTTACGACAAAAGTCGAAATCTCGACTTTAAATTCATATGGCATAGATTCTATTCGGCAATTAGCTGGTTGATTAAAACAAACGGATGAGAAAACATAATTTTCACAAAAATCACGGTTTTGAAAAGTGGGGCACAAATGAGAGTTCTAAACTTTCTTTCAATAATAGGATTAATAATAATAAATAAATATTTGATTGCAACAGTTGATGTAGATTAACATATACCGTAGCCGTACACCATAACGTATGGTAACCACAAAACCATGTAAATGCTTCATCGGTACGATTGTCCAGCTGTCTATTTGTCAATAGTTTTTGTTTTATCAAACGAAAGTTTGTTGAGAGTAATTTTGTGATATCAAATCAAGCTAGCAAGTGTTCTGAACTATTTTACTAGGTTTGGGTCGTTAATCAAGCAATGCCATATTTATCTATTCCTACATACATGCACAATTACTGCATGCTTTCATCAAGTTTGTGGGCTCTTATCATAATTTGAACGTAGTGAACTGCGTTCGTAATTAAATTTTATCGGAATAAATTATGTCATTTGCAAATGCATCGCAAATTTAATTAATTTTCTTGAAAGCGCATCGCTTGATTGATATCGTGTGTTCATAAATGATAAATGTGTGTATTTAATTACAGTTTAGTTTAACTAACAGGATAAACAGATAAAGCAATTTAGGTGTTTGAATGCTAATATGGTTTTAATATACAAATATTTTACAATGTGTCCTATCTTAGGGTAGGGAAGCATTCAAATAACATTCATCTTTCGACAAGCGGTGGTCAAAATCGACAATATTCCTTATACTTCAATCAAAACAAGTAATATTTTTAGATATTCAACTAAAGAGGAAATAGATATACATCTATTTATATATACATCTGGAAAAAAGTATACTAAGAGCAAACGATTTTTAGTTGCAATGAAATGTAGAATTCTTAAGTTAGTCTTAAAGAGCAAGTCCAAACTTAATATTTACAAGAGAACTTTTACTACTCGAATATTAAGTCTTTTTGAACTCATAAAATCTAACTATCGCCTTCAACATGTATTGCAATTTTTTTTCTAAATTATATATTGAATTAATTATATATTCTAGGCAACTGGAATAGATAATTTGAAAAACGGGCATCACAGATACTGTCATAATTTTTTTTGCAAGCAGGCAGCAGTGTCTTGAAATATTATCCTGAGCGTCTTTTATGACCCCCACCCAATCACAAAAAAAAATCTGCCAGAACATTGCACTATCGATATTTTTTGCCCAGCTCAATTTTCAATCGACCTGCTAAATCATAGTTCTTTATCTGGACGACACAGTTCGTGGCTGTCCTCTAATTTCGCTCTATAATCGTGGCTATTATAACCACTTGTACAGAGTTTACTCTTAGTAAGTAATTACTTCCTATCAGTTACATCTTTCCCTCCTCCCTCCACTTGTTTCCAATTTTGGCTTAGATATTTGTTATTTTCTTGATTATTAATATACCTTCTGTTCAAAAAGTATCCGGATTTTGTTGTGTGTTAATTACTCCTTAAATAATAGACCTTTTTCAAAAATATTTTTTTTTGTTATGTTGGTACACCCTTTCTTGACATATGGTACAAATTTGAGCGCCATCTGTCAATTAGTTTGTTTACAGCAGCTGTTAATGTGAACCTACCTCAAGTGCATTTAGAGATTTTTACTATGGAAAATTCTTGTTGTACGCGTTTTTTTGACCAAACACGGCACCACAGTCATCGCTCAGGCACCATATTCGCCAGATCTGGATCAGTGCGACTTTTTCCTGTTCCCGATACTCAAATTGCCCCTTCGTGGTAAGCGTTTTGAGTCGATTGAATCGGTAAAAGAGAATTCGCTGAAGGAACTAAAAGCCATACCTGCACGGGCCTACGAAAAGCGTATGGAAGATTGGGTTAAGTGTTGGCATATGTGTATCGCTTTAGAAGGAGCATATTTTGGTGGAGATAAAATAAATTTGGAATAAAATTTAAATTTGTGTTTTATTTAGAAAATCGGAGTACTTTTTGAGCAGAAGGAAAGAAAGGAAAGAAGAAGAAATTTTTATTAAAGGGGACAAAATTGTAGTTATTAGTTAATTTAGCTTTTAACCTTTATGGTCCAATGACTAAAATTTATTTATTTCGCATTCCTAAGAATTGGTTCTAGTGGATTTAAAATGATATAAGTCCATCTTTTTGCAAAAGTTTTTGGCAAAAACCTTAACAAATGGGATGGATCAATATTGTGACTTTTTGTTGTCAAAGTAAAAATTTTCATTTTTAAAGGACACTTTGAATCGATTGCAATGATTAAAGAAAATTCATAGAAGCAATACAAAGGAATCAGCCTACGAATAATGTATAAAGTATTATCATTCGCATAGTTTTATTGCACTTGATGGGTTCTATTTTGATAAACAAAAATTGAATTTTATTGATAATCTGAATACTTCTTATATAGAGTGTAAACCTAGTTTTTAATTTTAGTAAAAGGATCCAAAACAGAAAATATGATGGTAATATATACCTTAAGACACAATGTAAGACAAAATGTATTCTTTTCCTAAAGAATGGGTCTGCACACTGAAAACATTCCTGTGCGGTCCAAAAGTGCAAGAATACAAAAACATATTTTTGTTCGTGCCCTCAGTTGCATATTAGGTAGTTAATAACGGATATAAGAGTTCATCAATGGATGTCACGAATAGCTAATGTCTGAGCCCACCAAATACAATCACGCTTTAAACAAGATTTCTTTGTGTTCAGTGTAAGGGTTTGTTGATGCTGATGTCAAACGCAGTTTTTTTCAGAAGACAGCTCGCTGATGATGATGATGAGTTCTATTTTTGCGCATGTGTAACAACAAAAATCTAGCAAATCACATCCGTTACCCCTTAATTTCAAGAATAAAGGTAGAGTAGGTAATAATACCCATTTCGCACTGCATGAGTTATTGTTCATTAGCTGCTTAACCTTCAGCAGTTGTTGTTGTTGCACAGTTGTTTGTTGTTTTCAGGCTCTTCCTTCTCCTAACCTTCTGGTGCAAACAGGCAAGAAAGACCGCATGATTCGCTCAAATTTCTGATAGCAGCTGCTGCTCTAAGAATAAATATCGATTGCACAGTTAGGTGCACAGTGTCATTTTTGAATGTCATTCATGAGAGAAAATCCATAAATGACACTCAAAACTGTTGGTCTGCACCAATGTATTGAATAATTTTTGTGTGCACCTTTGAATGACATGCATCAGCATATGGGCGTTCAGCTTCTCGCTAACATGTGAATGAGAGTCTGTCACCCAAAAACTTGTATACGTTATTCAAAAGCATATTTTTGCGTGGTCACAAATTATGTCTGTTCCACAAGCTGCTCGTAGTAAAACTCAAGTAAAACACAAGTAAAGTAGAAACTGAGAGCATAACACAAATAGAGTGCCAAATTACGCTCTTCACACAGATGTTCAGGGAACAGCTTTGTGTAAAACAGGGCTGTTACGCTCTCTCAGGTGCTCTCATTTACTTGTAAATTAGCTGGTGCAACGCAGGGATGTTACGCTCTCTCAAATGCTCTTGTTTACTCGAAAATTAGCTGGTGGAACGGATTTGAACGGACTTATACAGGGTTACTCAAAGTTACAACGAGTAGCTTGTGGAACAGATCTATTTTTACCCTGCAAATTTATCGTAAGCAGACGATATATGTTTGTATATAACAAAAACATAACATAAATTTAATTCGTGTTTTTATTATTACTTTTTTTATATACTTTCATATATATTTATTTATATATTTTATTATTAATATATTTATTATTTTTATTATTTTTATTAAAATTACACTTATAAATTTGTGTTAAATATTTAATTGTATTTTACTTAAAAAAATAAAAATATTATTAAGGTGTGCAAGTTCAAATAAATTAATGATAAATTGAGAGAAGTAGTTAATTGTATTGGTATGGCAGCGAATATTGGTATTTACTAGAATTTCGAGTAGGGTAAATTAGATAAATTAGATGTCACCATTCTGAAAATTTTGTAAGATGTTCTATAAATAATAAATAAATTTCAAAACTTTTAACCACAAATAAATAATATGTATAATAAATAAAGAAATAAATATTTACATTTACAATTTACTTTACCTCAATGTACTTGAACTCGCACACGGCCTAAATATTTCAAACAAATTTTTAAAAGTTGATTATTATAACTATAAAGAATGGCATTCAGTAGTAGTTCTTTCTCTACATTCAAATTTAAAAATTTGCATTATTTTCAAAATATTTCCCGGTTTTATTAAAGTCAACTATCATTGACATTTATTTAAAAAAATGTCACTTCTTCGTTATCTTAACTTAATCTTTTGTTTAAAATTTATCTTACGCGTAGTCGCATTTGAAATATCCCTAAATTTCAGTCTTCGTTTTAATGAAATTAAGACCACTTTCCTTAATTTCGTTCTAACCTTAAAATTTAATTTTGTATGGAAATAATAACTTAATTTCGCTGAAATAAAGATGAAATTAAGATGTGTCTGAACATAGTATAAAACAAAGATTTATAAAATTATCTTCTTATCTTATCTTATATCTTATCTTATTTAACTTAAACAAAAAAGTTCTCTACAAATAAATATTTTTCTTGTGGCTTATACTATAAACTTAGAATAATTAAATAAATAACTAAAAAATTAACTTAAATAATATAAGGGAAAAAATTGATCAACTAATACTAATAATAATACTGTGTTAACTATAATCAAACAAATTTCGATAACAATGGGATTAGCACGGTAGCAACAAGCGATGAAGAGAAGAAAACATCCTTATTCATCGAAAATTTTGCTTGAATGACAAATCTTGAATGTGAGCAGATTCAAGTTTGGTTGCTAGAATAAATTTGAGCAAGAGAGAGTGCAACTTGAATGACACTCAAAAATGACAGCAATGAGTATTTAATACTCATTAAATAGTCTTTGATGATAGTCTGCACCGTGCAGAAAAAACCTTAAGTTTGCAGTGCGAAGTGTGTATAAATTGCAAAAATTTACCGAAAGAAATTTTAAATAAAATCAGTTGCTTTCTGGCTTACATGTATTAAGTATCTAAATTTTAAGCATCTTCATCTCTTCTTTTACTAGTTTAAATTACTCAGGGTAATTCAAATTTAAATTACCCACCGGCTACACTTGCCAGAGTCTGGCAAGTCTGGAGTTTTTGCTTATCACACTCTTTCACTAACACGAAAAAAATTAGTGGAAGGATAGATAGTTCTTGCGTTCAATTAAAATGGTAAATATTTAATATTTTTAATTATTTTTATTATTTATATAAAATTCGTTAATTGTTTTAGAACGATACCGATCTTCTCATACGTACACTAGATGGTAAAACAGACATTTTTCACTGGGCGATGGAATCCGAAAATACTCAAACTGCTTCAGTTGCCTTAAAAAATAGATCTCATGTAGTACTTATAACAATAGAACATCCGTATCTCCCTGAAGCAGATCATCCAGAAAATTCTCGTTCGAGAGTTTTCAGAAAATGTCGGCATGCTACACAAATAAATGTAAGATTTGAATCTGAAAATATTCGCTATAAAAACGACCACTTACTTGACAAGGGTTTCTTAATGATTGGTGATGGAGGCCTTGAACCGAATATATTTCATGTGTTACCTCCATCCAATATTTATGAGTGTGATGCAATGGCAGTTGGCCATCGTTCCAAAAACGCACGTGACTATTTAGCGCGCCACTCCAGCGAATTTCAAGCATGTGATAAAACTGTACTAATTTGTCACGGTATCAAGGCTTTGAAGAGTACTTTAGCAGATGACGAAAATATGTCTGATCAGGTATTATGATTTGATTTGTGTTTAAAAATTTAAATCTATAAAAAAAATATAACCTTTTAGCATATTTCGATTATAACAATGCGAGTAAATGATAAATATAATTATCTTAATCAGGGGAGGGTAAATTATTATATGAATATGATTGACGATATATGATATTCACAATGAAGTGGTGGAATTCATAATAAATCCAAGAAATTATATCTAATATTTAAATTTTCGATAATAACAAGATTTGTAAAGAAATATAAATACTAATAAATTACTTCGTATTTTGATAAATTAATAATGGTTAATTTATGTATAACAATGAATACTCATTTGCCTAGAAATTTAGGTATTTCATTTTAAATACCTGGCATATTAATTTCGGTAGTGAGAACTAGAGCATCGTTTGGTTGCTAAGTCATCAAATCATACTATACTTTTTAAATAGGCAAGACCATTGAATACTTTGCGTTTGTTTTACACAAAAAAAAAACCGGTAAGCGTGAAATCAACATATATTATCTTTTATATATCACAAGACGGACCACAATAGGCATATCACGTATTTTTGATAAAAAGAAAAAACACCAAATCGGTCATTATACTCGGTAAGGCATGAAACAAAACCACTAGTTGGTAACTCAAACAAGTAAATACAAACTTAGTTCTCAGTTTATCGGCAATGTTGTGAACTATGCGTTAAAATATGGTCGGAGCCATGTTTCTTCAACTTTCTTTAGCAGTTACGTGTGAGTCAATGTTTGAATATCCTTGGCAAATATCGTTTTTGCAAACAATAACCTATAAAGTGATAGCAAGAAGTGACAAATATCATGTTTCCACTGCAATTAAAACTACTTATGTTAATGAAATTAAGATTTGGTCATTTTCATTGGTATAAACGAACATTGGATGTGTTCGTACGAACACGCAAGTCAAAATTCGCATGCAATGTAACCGCAGCATGCAATGTAAGCAGAATAAATTTTGCTGCAACAGTGGTGATAGTCTGTGGTTTATGGTTGTTGTCTATAGTTTATGACAACAGTCTGCAGCTATGCTGGTAGCTTGAATGAGAAAGATATATTATAGCAATATGTTTCTTTATTTTAATCATTCAAGTGTTCAAAAGAGATTCAAATGCATAATATAATTAAAAAGGGGATAAACGTGTTCAACTTAAGTGCTTTGCAAATTTTTAAGATATTGGAATTCACTGCCAGAATCATAGAAATACATTCTATGTTTCTATGTTTTTGATCACTAAGTTGTAAACGTGGTATTGTAATTACAGTGCAATGTTCAGCCAAATTTTTTATAAATCTAGTGGGGACCATTAGTCTCTCATAGACTGATAGCGATCTAAAAATCAAATACAGACTTGTGTGAAATACTTTTATATCTATCAACTCTTTAGAATGTTTAGAATAACAAGTAACGAAATTGATAAAATTCGATTTAGATTTATTCACTATATATATCATATATATGTATATAACATATTTTGTAATATTATTTAATAATATATATAATAATTAGAAATTTAGTTTTTAATACAAATTAAACTTTGGATTTTATTTTTAATTAAGCTTTGACTTTTATTTATTATATTTGTTTATTATAAAATTTTTTACTGTAAGTAAAAAAAAAAAAGAAATTAAATAATACAATGAATAAATATAATGAATGCATAAACTACTATTTATAAGTTTTGTTACCATGAATTTATATACACATATATTTACCGTTTTTTTATATGTTTTTTTATATTATATGTATATCTTATTTGTATTTTGTACGAACATATATTTCATAAAAATTTTATAATCAAATTTGATAAAAATGCTATATTAACAGCTCATAAGCATAAAATAAAATGAAATTAGAACAATAAAATCAAGGGAAATGGTAAACAATTTTTAAATCGGATAAAATAAAATTTTTTGTTTTATCTGAATTATAGGGATATGGTATGATTGCCATATTACCGAAATGTTTGGATTATTGAGTCTCCAGATTATCGTCTCGATACTATATATGATTTCATATATTCCTATACATTTATAACCATGTAAGTCATTTTATGCGGCTTACACATAAGATAGATTTATATCCCTAATGAGTATTGATAAGACCAACAATTCCAAAGAAGAAAAACATCATTTGAATTATAGGGATATAGTATGATATGGTGATATGGCAATATCACCGAAATATTTGGATTATTGAGTCTCCAGATTATCGTCTCGATACTATATATGATTTCAAATATTCCTATACATTTACGGTTTTAAATAGAAAATTCTTTATCAGTGTTTTCAATTCTGTATGAATGTTGTTTAAACATCGTCAAAAGCAAAGTATTTTTTCATATATATATATATCTCATGACATGTACCCACAGCTACAATATGACATTATGCATAATTTTTATTTCGAAAACACTCAGCACATATCGAGCCTACTTTTTAAATGTAGAGGCGGTCTTTTTAATCTGAACGGTAGAGAGTTTAATACATCTGATCGTGATTGTTCTATATGTAATCGTCATGAAATAGAAAATATATGTCATATTATTGGTGTATGTGCAATTTTCAGAGAACATAGGCGTAGTTTTTTTGATAAAGCACTTCTGTCCGAAGAAGAAGTGAAAATCTTATTAAACGGTAGCAATATTTATAAACTGTATAATTTTATGAAAAGTGTTTTGAGTTACAGAAAATTAATTATTGAAGAATTTATATAAATAATAATGTTAATATTATGCACCTTCTTTTGCATGCCAATCTGACACACAACAAATATGTTATTGTCAACTTAGATTTTCTAGAATTTTTGTAAGTGCTGTATGAATTTTTTTTGAATCAATAAATAATAATAATAATAATAAAAAATATAAATGTATAGAATATGTATAGATCAGATGAAAAAAAACGAGATAAGTAGAGATAATATAATATGAAACACACATTAAGATGCATAAAAAAAACATTTTACATGAGATATCATCATTAATTTATTAAGAGCAAAGTTTTGCGTCCTTTAGAGTTTCAGTAATCATTTCAATGGAATCTTTTGTGTACATATATGTATCACATTTGTAACCTTAACCATGTAAGTCATTTTATGCGGCTTACACATAAGATAGATTTATATCCCTAATGAGTGTTGATAAGACCAACAATTCCAAAGAAGAAAAACATCATTTGAAATAAGTTTTCTACAATGAATGAGAAGCGAAAACTTTAAAATAACTCAAGCCACACAAATAAATTTTTTTTTAAATAAATAAACTTGCACTTTAGTTTATAAAAGTTCTTAGCATGTGGTTTGAATGATACATTTAACATACGAAAATCTGCATTCACATTTATAGTCAGTTTCATAAGAGCTTTTTATATTATTAGTACAGATTGCATTATCCTGTAGTGAATCTTGTTTTATAAATTGTTTTGATTAAAAAAATTGTTTCCGCACACGATATTATGTATCAATCAAAGCTGCGACTATAAAGTTTGAAACTCTAATATCAGAAGAGGTAATGAGATACTAGGACATATGAGATCTATTGCGCTGCATATCCGAATGAAGGAAATCTACCACTGACATTCGATACAACATCTACCGTGTACGAGCTTATATGTTATTATTCGTCGTTGCCATATGAAAAAAAATGCTCTCAACAGTTTAAGTGCTTTAAAATATACACAAGTAGTATGCAGACGAAGTGCATTACTTTCGGAAGAAGATTTGTCCAAATAATAACAAAAAAATGAATGAAAAGTGGACGCCCACTTTCAATATTACTGGAATACTAAGTGTCAAAACAAATTCTTCATGAAAAAACAGTCAAAAAACATTATATCTTAAATATAGTTATCCCAAACCGCTGAAGTCATAAGATAGTTTTTAGTTTATTAAACATCCATTAATTTGATATCTTGCATGTTTTCTTACTTAAATCTGTGCGGATCTCTCCTCTTAAATGGAGCTTAAACTCTAAGTTATCAGTTTAAAACGAACTCTGTCATAGGAATATACAAGGATGTTATTCTATGAGCAATGTACAATTTTTAGTTCACGTTCTACCATTTTACTTCAAGTCATGGTCATTGGAACCTGGTGCCTGAAACTTTGCGAATTCCACCTCAGTACTTTTTGAGAAATATTACTGCTAAATCCCTCCATTTCGGTTACTGTATTTTTCTGTAGCTTTATTTCGGTTTATACAATTAATTGCACATATCAGTATTAGATATTCAGTGTGATCACCAGATATGCAAGATACATTGTATACATTAGTTTAAAAAAGTCTAAATTTTATTGGATTCCAAAGGTACTATGTGCCTAGTAGATATATATCTGCAATTCAAAAATGCTTCTATGGCGTTATTAATTTTAGTAAAAAATTTATTATAATGCTTCCAATATATAATATTTGTTGTATACATTCTAGCCTGTCGGTTTCTAATGGATTGGCAGAACAAGACCCCATGCTGTTTCCCTCACTTACAGAGCTTGCATCAAAAAACTTTGAATTTTAGCCAAGAAGTTCATTGTCCTATCACATTAACTTATTCCTCTGAGATAATAAACAGTGTTTCAGATTTGGAGGCGCTAATTTGACATTAATTTGACATGAGACTGAAAATTAAAGTGAGACTTGATAAATTTTTTTAAAAATAGTTGGGTGAGTTTTGTTGAATATTTGTTTGTTTTTTAATATAGGTAATGTATGCGAACACAAATTTTTAATTTGCCATGCACGTTTTTCTTTAACATTTTGAGTTTTACTAAACCATTCCAATAAATGTGTAACAACTAAATGTGTAATCCTTAAATGTGTAATCCTTAAATGTGTAATCCTTAAATGTGTAATCACTAAATGTGGAAACACTAAATGTGGATACACTAAATGTGGAACCACTAAATGTGGAAACACTAAATGTGGAAACACTAAATGTGGAAACAGTAAATTAATTTTTTGGATCGAGTTAGCTTTGGTATCCTGTATATGGATAAATATTGAAAATTAAGTTCGTTTCTATGCGCGTATTCTTGTTATTTGGATCAACGAATAAATTCCAAAAATTAATGCACTTCAAAACGGATCACTATTGTGTACTGTGCTGGCACTATTAAACTGTTATAATTAAAGTCAACAGATTGTAATTTACCTTATACAGTCTTGAAAGAAGCCCAAAATATCATCTGGATAAATGTAAGTATCTTGAAACTACATGATCTGCTTAATTCTACTTAAAATATTTATTTGTATTTTAAAAATAAATAGAATTTTTGCAAGACTTATTTTATTTAAGTAGTGATAATTAGTATTAAATCTCCATTTTTTAAATTTAGTAAAGAAATGTTAATTTTTTATCCTTAAGACTATACGGATTTAATATAAACAAAGTACTTTATATTTATTTTATTTTTTCATTTGTTTACTGCACGTTTTTACGTCGAGATATTGAAAAAATGAGAAAAAAAGCCGAATTGAGTTTTCAAAGTTTGGAAACTTAGTATTTTGTTTGATTTCCGTTTTCACGCTCGGAAAATGCGGCATTCAACAAGCTCTTGGGCATATTGTTTATATGCTTGACCTATTTTAAACTGCAACAAATACTTCAACTTTAAGTGTATTTAGTCTATCAGTTTTTCGGATTTGTATTTCGGATTTATTTTACCAAATTTTAGTTTGGAGAAGATTGTACTGGCTTTGCGGAAAGCATATAGAATTGAATCATTATATGTTATGTTACGACTGCAATACATATTATAGATAGATAAATAGAAAGATTTTAAATTAAATAGTAAAGTAAGAAAAAAATTATATTTAAAAAATTAGAGAAAATTTATTAAAGTGATAATATTATTTATACATTTCTGTATATCAGGTTTTCTAAAATGAGGATATGCCTTGGCTGAATGAATGAAAATTAATTCCATCCATTTACTAATTTTATATAAGCAAATACTAAAGCTGGAATGATCCTACAGTACTCAATTGTGGGGTTGCGTTAGCCAACAACATATTCAGGCCTATTCTGAATCGCATGGGAATGGGAGTTTGTTCCCTGTTTCCAAGTTTGCTATTCTGAATAATTTGGGAATGGGAGTTTTGTTCCCTGTTCCCAATTTTGCTATTCTGAATCGCATGGGAATGGGAGTTTTTTTCCCAATTTTGCACAAATTCTTTCTCTAGCAAATTGTTGGGGAGACAAGTTAAAAAAGTATTAAAAATGGTTTAATTTAATATAAAAGTAACTGAAAATGATCAGATTTTTGAATATATTTTAATAAAATTATTACAATAAATTTAATATTTTTAAAATTTTATTTTTTGATTAGTTTTCCGAATATATTTTAATAAAATTATTTTAATAAATTTAATATAACAAAATTTTCATTTAATGTATTTTATTAAAATTATTATTTTAATAAAAGTATAACAAATTTGAAATTTAAATTTTTATTTATTTATTTTATTCACACGGGTTTTTTCCACTAATTAAAGTGTTAACTATTGTTTTTAAAACAATAGAAAAATGAAAGGAAACCAAATTCTGAAATAAATGGATTCCTAGAATAAGATAAAATAAACTGCAATTATGTGAAGGTAAAACATTGCTTCTTTTTTATTGTAAGATCTGCACAGGTACAAACTATTATTAGTTCATTAATCGAAGCATGAAAGACATTTCTATCCTAATTATATAAAAAAAGTAAATTATAATTTACGCAAATTTTATATAAAAGCAGTGAATGTTTAAAAATAAAGACATTGAAGAATTGATATCATAACGTAAGGTTTTTTTTAATTAGTTAAAAATTTAGAGTTCAATTTAACATTTAAGTAACCAATAATAATAAATTTTGCGAATATATTTTAATGTGATATTTAATGTCTGATGCCTGATAAGCTCCTTCAGCAAAGAAATGCAAACAACCGCTCAAATTCACAATTGCAAACTGCTTCTTTGCTGGTTGTAGTTCCTCCGTAAG